ATCTTTAATCAGACGATTTTAAAATAATAAAACATGGTCAGAATAAGAATCAAAAGATAATCAGAATAAAATACATTTTAAATAAATTTAGCATAATTTTCAGATTATTTAAGTTAGTTTAGTAATACAATAAAACCTGTGTAAACGGTACCGAATATTTTTTCTGGTTTAGCAAGTTTCTGTTTTATTCAGGTTCCGTTTTAGACAGGTTTTACTATATTAAAGCATCTAGCAGATATTAAACTCAAGAAAAAGTGTTTATACACACTACACATAACTAAATATAAAAAGAATGGAACGATGCCTGCTTAATTGATATTCAATACACATATTAAAATATATACATAAATAAATTCATAATATACAATAACATAAATATTAATAAATATATTAAAGTAAAATAAGATAAATGATAGTTTTATCAAAATAATTTGCACGTTTTCTAATTATTATTTATTATTGTGTAGTCTAATTATCAGGAAAAAGTATATATATATATAGTAAGACCGCGCTTAACGTGGGGATGCGTTCCTAGACGACAAAGCGCTAAACGAAACAGCGTTAAACGAGGTCATTTTAACATAGAGTAAATAGAGATAGGGAAACACGCGACAAAAAATAAATAGATTTTACTTTAATTTTAAGTTATTTTTATATTAATTTGTATATTAATATATGTTAAATAACACATAAACATATGCACACAAAAATGTAAAGTTCATATTTTGTGACGAAGGTCCTGACTTTTCTGAAATTCTTGTTCTTTTGCAATAAAGTCGTGAAGTTTCATTTGTCGCTTTTTTCTTTCCTTAAGCAAATGTCGGTAGCAGAAGATCGCATCCAAAATGCCTCGTTTTGCTTTTTCACTCCTTTCAAAGTCTGGATCATTCGCTACTATTTGATCAACGATTCCGGTTATCGTTACCAAACTTTTACTAAGGAAATCTATAGAGAAATTTTTTGGGTTCTTCATTTTCAGAATCTCTATTTTCCAGTTTCACATGAATTCCATGTTCTGCCAGTTCTTGAAGGTCGTCGTTGGTAAGTATCACCAGAAATCTGCTGTAACTCCTCAATATCCTGCTCGTCTACATCTTCTAGTCCTACTGTATCAATTTTAGGTTGAGTTTGGTCAACCTAACGATACAGCGATAGGTTCTTCTCGTTGAGAATTCGTGGATACCTTCAGTCATAACTTCTTCCACACTTCGTTCGTGTATTTATCAGTTAATTCTTGCCAAGTGAAGCTGATATTGTCTATGACGATGTTATATTTTTTTCCAAAATTGCACCAAACAAACATAGATTTAAAGAAAATATACCTTTTTCGTGTTGGTATTATATATATATATATATATATATATAATCGTTATTTCACGTAATTTATTATTTATAAATTTCTGTTTAAATATAATTATATTCCGTTTTTACTATTTTTGTAATTTATAAAATTTAAATAAATTCTATTTTATTAATTGACGTTTCTATTTAACATTATTAATAATCAACGCAACGTAAAAATATATATTTTTTATAAATAGTAAATTTAATTTAATTGCTATCATGCATGCCCTTGTACATCATACTTTTTCTGATAACAGTAGAGTCGTCTATGTAACTCCGTTTTGGGGAAAATTTTTNTTCCGTTTTAGACAGGTTTTACTATATTAAAGCATCTAGCAGATATTAAACTCAAGAAAAAGTGTTTATACACACTACACATAACTAAATATAAAAAGAATGGAACGATGCCTGCTTAATTGATATTCAATACACATATTAAAATATATACATAAATAAATTCATAATATACAATAACATAAATATTAATAAATATATTAAAGTAAAATAAGATAAATGATAGTTTTATCAAAATAATTTGCACGTTTTCTAATTATTATTTATTATTGTGTAGTCTAATTATCAGGAAAAAGTATATATATATATAGTAAGACCGCGCTTAACGTGGGGATGCGTTCCTAGACGACAAAGCGCTAAACGAAACAGCGTTAAACGAGGTCATTTTAACATAGAGTAAATAGAGATAGGGAAACACGCGACAAAAAATAAATAGATTTTACTTTAATTTTAAGTTATTTTTATATTAATTTGTATATTAATATATGTTAAATAACACATAAACATATGCACACAAAAATGTAAAGTTCATATTTTGTGACGAAGGTCCTGACTTTTCTGAAATTCTTGTTCTTTTGCAATAAAGTCGTGAAGTTTCATTTGTCGCTTTTTTCTTTCCTTAAGCAAATGTCGGTAGCAGAAGATCGCATCCAAAATGCCTCGTTTTGCTTTTTCACTCCTTTCAAAGTCTGGATCATTCGCTACTATTTGATCAACGATTCCGGTTATCGTTACCAAACTTTTACTAAGGAAATCTATAGAGAAATTTTTTGGGTTCTTCATTTTCAGAATCTCTATTTTCCAGTTTCACATGAATTCCATGTTCTGCCAGTTCTTGAAGGTCGTCGTTGGTAAGTATCACCAGAAATCTGCTGTAACTCCTCAATATCCTGCTCGTCTACATCTTCTAGTCCTACTGTATCAATTTTAGGTTGAGTTTGGTCAACCTAACGATACAGCGATAGGTTCTTCTCGTTGAGAATTCGTGGATACCTTCAGTCATAACTTCTTCCACACTTCGTTCGTGTATTTATCAGTTAATTCTTGCCAAGTGAAGCTGATATTGTCTATGACGATGTTATATTTTTTTCCAAAATTGCACCAAACAAACATAGGTTTAAAGAAAATATACCTTTTTCGTGTTGGTATTATATATATATATATATATATATATAATCGTTATTTCACGTAATTTATTATTTATAAATTTCTGTTTAAATATAATTATATTCCGTTTTTACTATTTTTGTAATTTATAAAATTTAAATAAATTCTATTTTATTAATTGACGTTTCTATTTAACATTATTAATAATCAACGCAACGTAAAAATATATATTTTTTATAAATAGTAAATTTAATTTAATTGCTATCATGCATGCCCTTGTACATCATACTTTTTCTGATAACAGTAGAGTCGTCTATGTAACTCCGTTTTGGGGAAAATTTTTGAATTGAAATCACGTAACTTTTGGTTTAGATTGGAAGTTTATATATAGTTAATCGAGGCCCTCTGCCCCTAAAATTTCCATATCTGCTCTCGAATTTCATCTGTCTAATACCATTCTCGATATTAAAAAAGGACATACAGACGGACGACAGTGGGAATTTATAGATACAATTTTTTTAAAATTGCAGCCAACAAATCTAAAAATATTGTCTATAGTTATCCGATTTTCATTCTGTGTTCTATAGTCGTACGGATACACTCTATATCCACATAGTCTTATCCACATATAATAGAGGACTTATTTTCTCCCAGCAAATGATTTGACATTTGCTATGATAATTTAAATATTTTAGATTGATTTATATTGTAGAAATTTTTATTTTTTGGGAGAAGGTTCAAAAAGAGAACCTTTTTCCGCTTGGAGACCATTAAGAATTTAAGTATTACCAGGATTGGGATATTTTTACTTTGGAAAAACCTTTAAAAAATTAAAAATTGATTCGATTGGATTAGATTGATGGAATGAACATCGCAATACACAGGCAATCTGCTGTCTTCCGAGAAAACTTTCTATGAGAAACTGGCTCCTATGATGCTAGACACGTGAAGTAAACCCGGAAAACTTCATGTGGCCAGCCCGTTGATCAAGAGCGAACCAACAACTAACTGCCAGTGTTCAGTGGTTTTATTTATTTGGCCACGATAGATTAAAAATTGAAGCAGACGACCGGATGGCCGAAGAGGTTTAAATCTACAATTCGGGGGATCCAGAATGGAATCCAGACGGTCAGAAATTTTTTATGGGACATCTGTCTCGGATATGTCAAACTCCGTGTCTCACCCCATTGCAGAAACTGGCAGAACTCACGATAATATGGAAAAAACCGTCTTCAGCCCATAGGACAGAGTTAAAAAATGAAGCCTTTTTTAAACTTAATTTTTGTTGTATAATATTTTTTTACTTTTCTGAAACCTTTTATAATATAATTATTTATTTTTATTCCCCATTCATTTAGTATGTTAACAATAATGAAGAAAATTCTTTATGTATTTATTAAAATTAATAAATAAGATTTTTTAAAATTATGACCTTATAAAACTTTCTTAGATAATAATTTTAATATTTTTTTTTACAAATTTAATCAAATGAAAATAAAAAAGTTTCAAATGAACTAGATAAATCTTTTCTATAGCAATAACACTATATATATATAGTAAACAAAGATACAAAATGTAATTACAATTCTAGCAAATGATATTTACATCTAATGTAAAATATATAAATAAAAAAGATAATCTAATATTTATAGTGAACGTAAATTTAATTTTATCGAAAGTTCAAGAATTTTTAGAAAATTAATTTTAAAAAAAGGTTTTTTTCCCCAGCATAAAATATTTAAATTTTGTGTATGTTAAAAATTAATTTTTTAATCTGCTCTTTTAAAAGCAAAATATAATTTAAGTATTTATTATACATTTTAGAAATTTTGTTTACTTGTTTGTTTGATTAGGAATTCTTCGATCAAACAAACAATGAAAAAAATAGAAAAATCGAAATTTTGTTTATAAGCGACTTTCTAAAGCAAAGACAATTCAGATTGATCAATTTAAAAAAATGATCAAACTTATAAAACACATAATTAATCGAATAAGTTTTTTCTGTTTAGAATTATTTATCTATTAAAATTTTTATATAAATAAAACTGATTTATATATTTTACTTTATTGTTTTATTTTTAAATACTTTTAGATAGATTATAATACGCATTATAACATAATGCGTGTTATACGTTGTTCCTAAAATTATATTATAATGTAAGGATCCAATTTCTATAAAAATATTACAAACATTTAACAATGTTTTCTGAAATTTTTTATACTTATGTATAAATTATTATTATTATTATTGTAGAGATAGATTACATACTATTTGGTTTATGCCGACGCTTAGTGCTATGCTGGGCCAAAGTCAACTAGTAGCTGCAGAAAAGCTGTGATTTGTATTGTTTTGTTGGTGTATGGTTTGTAAGTATTTAAAAATTTTCTTTCTGACATATGTTTAGTATTGAAGCCATCTGTAATGTCACCTATGTGCTGTTGTGAAGATCTAATGTTTCTACATTTTTGTGTAGTGCACGTGACAACTATACAAGAAAGAAGTATGGGTGCAGTAACTACCTTATCTATTCTCCGCAGACAGTTTCGAGTACCGTATTTTATAAATTTTTTGTATATGTATTTTGTATGTTTTAAGTGTTTGGTATAGCTATGTAAGTTATATTGTGTATGTGATTTTGTTTTGATGTCTGATTTGTCTGTGATTATGGCTCGATCAAATTGTATTTTATGTATATTGCTTTTTTAAGACTGTGTGAAATTCATATGTAGTATGGTTCTTGGGTATGTAATAGTGTGTTTGTGTGCGAGCAATTTGATGTATTATGAGTATATTTTCTGTTTGATTATATCCATGTAAGTAGTTTGTTTGTACTAAAAGCTTACAACTGGATATGTACAGTTTCATGCAAGTTGTGGGTGGCATTTTCTATAATGTAATTTATAACTGTTATGTCTTAAAATGTACTTGCTGTTGTTTCTTATATTTATAACCTGGTCTTATATGATAATCATAAACTCTTTCGTCTCTCCAAAAAAGGCACTCCCGAGCCAGCCAGCAATTTGACAAAATTCTGCAAACGTAATCCAGGATAAGATCGTTAGATTTCTATTGTGAAGCTCTTTCCAGGTCCGAATGCCTGATGGTGACTCTATTTTGTGTACTGTGTTATATAGAGGTCAGTGTTGTGTAGGTTTAATGATATATTGTTTTTGTCTGCAAGAGTTACAGCTTTGTATAACTGATATTTCTTATTTTTGTTTGTAGGAAAGATTTATTATATCTGTGAAGTCTCGTCTTCCCTCTATGAAAAAGCGTCAGCTTTTCTGTGAACGACTGAAAAGGGCTGGCGCAAGAAATCTTGGCTTCCTAAGAAAACGATACCTGAAGAAAATCGACTCACCAACACATTTGAAATACAAAAAGCACAAACAAGTTAATAAGTATTACATATTTATTGCCAATAAATAGTACTAAATTAATTATATAAGAGTAAAAGTAAACATAGCTAATAGATGTCACGTGCACATATAAACACGTGAGGTTCAATTTGACGTTTTCTCATAATGCGTATGAAGGCTTTCTATTTGTCAAACCTATGCATACATAGATATGAAATTTTCTAAATACAGTACAGTGCAAAGTAATGGCTCTCATTTTCGTAAAAATCGATTTGGATTTTGAATTCAAGTATTTTAAAATAATAAATAATAACATATTAAATTTTATTTATTTGTTTTAGAGTTTAATTCAATCATGTTATATTATTACGCTTTTTTACGAAATTGTCCTGCCCTCAAATTATGTCTTGTTCTCTCATACTTGGTTGCTCCGATCCTGCGACTGATAATAGAAGGCTAGGTTTATAAATAAGCTAAATTAGTTACAGCTTAGGGCCTGATGCCACAAAGAGACTCGTTTCAGCCTTATCCAGAATTAATTTAATATTATTTGATAGAGAATGTAAGATCTCTTTTATGCCATAGCTTAGGATCACGTGTTTAAATACAGTTCTGAGGGCAGTGTTATGTTTTGTTAACGTTCGTGTTTTTATTTAGAATTGTTTTAGTTGTGTGTGTCAAATATACAGATAACTCTAATTGAATATATCAGTACTGGGACATGTTTTGATTGCTTTAAAGACTGGTCCATGAAGTTCTGTTCTGCTTGCATCCGCTAGCAATGTTCCATTCCTTTGTAATGTTTATAGTGTCAACAGTAACGTTCCGCTATATAAGCTACCCGTTTGGTTTCTATCTGACCTCGCAGCGGTCTAATGGAAAGTTCGGTTTGTGATTAAACTCGATGTTCTTCCGTTGGTCAAGAACCAATAGAATTGTATGATGGTATCACGTGTTCTGTATTTGATGCAAGTGCTCGATCTCATCTCGTACAAATATAAAGTAGAGAATATTCGAGCCGTGGATGATAAACTGTAAAACATGCTGTAAAAATTATCTAATTTTGTATAACATTGGATTAAAAGGTATAAAAATAAAATGTTAAGAAGATTTTTTCCAGAAAACGTGGAGTAATACATCTGTTTTATATGCTCGTATTTAATCCTTCATTCAAAAAATTTGATGGTAATTTTTTGATTTAACAAACGATAAATAGCAGCTAACTTCGAATTATATTTTGATATACTGTATACGAGGTTATATGCTATTTACATTGTGGAATTAGAAATATGTTTGTTTTTGTCACTGTAAGCAAGTATCTATTCGGACGCAATGGCTATTAACTGTTAAATACGCTATGAACTGTTAAACTGTAACAGAATATTGTTCGACGACCTTTAGCACACCTCAGCGAAATTTCAACGTCTAACGGGAGTGGACTACGAACCAGCCTTTAAACTGTATTGCATTCAACTGAGTTTAATCTGTTCTGTTAGCCCCTGTTTGATTTTTGCTTATTCTATGAGTTCTGCTTGTTAGAATCCTAAATATTTGTAGATTTTGCCCTCATTCTTGGATTCGATGACATCTTCATTTCCAAGTGCAAAGTCCTTCTTTAGGATCCTTTTTTCGATGTGAAGTGTTTTGCGTTTTTCCATTGACATACAAACTCTATTTGTATGTCAATGGAATGAGTGCATGTAATTTATAATACAGTAGTAATTTGGCTGTGTTGGAATGAATACACAGGAGTTTTATGACGTCCATATACATCATACGATAAATACGTATTGTGTTGTTCTGTTGTGTTTGATTTTGTATTCATATTTTGTGTTGTCTAACGTATTGGGTAATGGGTTTGTGGTCAGACAGAACCAGAGTGTATGTATTGTAAATCTGTCTGAAAAATGCTTTAATTTTGATTTTTTATGTGTGTCGTAAAATTTAAAATATGGTGTTGTTCTCCAGTGTTGCATTGTGCTTTATAAAAATGTTACGTACTATACTCTACGTATAGATGTAGTGTATGCAATAATTATGAGTGTAAAATACTATCGAATGTTTTCCTTTAATCTATGTATGCTACGTCTAGGTTTCTCTGTGGTTTGTGCACTTGTCGTAGAATAACTACGAGTAACTGTTATTTGCATCTCACAAGATTTCTACGAAAGTCTTTTTATTGTTTTATATTATTCTACATGATATATTTTGTTTGTGACGCATGAAGTGAGTGCTCTTTTAGAGTGTAAGAAGCCAGGTGATTGATCTGTATTGTGTAGGGTTTCTAGTGTTTCGTTTTTGTAGGCGATATTCTGTATAAGAAATTTTACCATGTCTTGTGGATTGTTGATTGTATGTGTAAAGAGATTGATTAGTTCCTAGTGTAAAGATGTAACATTTTTGTTCCAGAAATTGTAAATGTGGTCTGCATCAGGTGTCTTCGAACCGTGTGACTTTAATACTACATTTTAGATGTTGTGTATGTTTATTTCGATGCAGGGAATAATTGGTGTCTTGTGCATGTTTTCTTCTTTTTCTTTGATCTTCTTACGTCACTATTGTGTGTGATTAGATTGGCCTAAAGAGCAGACCAAGATCTTGTGAATTCTTTATCTGATTGGTACGCATTGTTGTACTTATTGTATAGTGGATTTGGTATGTAGTTGTCTGTAGAAAAGTGTCCCGTTGTTTGTGAATAATTTATTTTGCTGTTTTTGTAGCGTCTTGTATCGTTTTAGTCTTTATGACTTGACTGCAAGTTTTCGTTTGAGTATGCAAAACTGTATTGTGTTATTTGTGCTGTGTGTTTTAATTTTTCTTAATATTTTCTCAACTTCTTTCGTTAATTTTGGTGATGTGTTGCTTTTAGTGTATTGTGTCAGCCTGAAATGTTATTTATGTGTTTTTAGCCCTCCTTTCCAATCATGCTTATAATTTATATAATTTGTACATATTTTGATTGTTTCTGTTTTTGGTGTATTTAAAACTGCAGAAGTGTTGATTCCGGTTGAGTAATATGCATGAGAGTTTCTATATGGTGATGTATTTAGTGAATGTTTATTGGAATAAATTTGTTAGAGATATTTACAACGAGTATTTGATCTTCAGTGTGGGCAGTATTTCTCTGTGATGATTTTTCTATTCTGCAATTTGTTTGATATGTTCGAGTGTTGTTTGTTGAATAACGTTGTAAATAAGTTCTTTCTGATCACAACCCTTCGTTCTGTAACAAGTAAATATGTGTATTTTTGTGTGAATTCGTCATGTAATGTCTGTCTGTATATTATCATGTGTGTTGTGAGAGTGTAATAAGTACGGATTCATTCATTTCCTGTGTCCACTTCATCCGTTGGTGTGGTTTTTCGACCTTGATCAGTTGCTGAATTGGCACTGAAGAACTTTGGCTGAGTTAGTATAAGTAAGGTCTGAGATGCAGTACTTGGTTGAACCAGTACTGTGTTCTGGGACACTGTAGAAGATTTTTCGAACGTGGACCTCTGCTTAATCTACGAACGAGGACCTTGTTAACCCGGTATTAAGCTGAAAACGTGTCACACCACTTTTTCTTCCCCAAAAGCGGACATGCTTATATATCTAGTTTTTATAAATCAGCCGTCTCTGATATGCGGAACAGACGGTGTTTAGAAGATGCATCCTAGATCAAACGCTGTTTTTCGGTCACTCTTTGATTTATTTCTTTCCATAAACCATATTGGCGTGGATAGCTCTATTGAAAGTTTATGATTTTGCCGATATCATACCTCAAAGTGTTCTCCAATAAAAGTATCCGGGAGAACACTTTCAGGTAACTCAATATACTCTTGGTACCTTTTAGGTAGCACACTGTAAATTTCCACATGTCTGGTTACATTCTTAATATCATATTTCGACTACATTAATTTGATTTTTTTATACAGATTATTTTTATTTTTCATTTTTGGTACATTTACCTGATTCGTAGATATTAAAGTTTGGGAACCGATACAGAAATCAAGGTTGCATTAGATTTTGGAGACAAGTATTTGGTGCTACGACAAGTACTGTACATAAATACGTTTGTGTGGACGCCATTTATAATATATCACAGCGAACAGATAAAGCGAAAAATTTTCTTTGTTAGCAAAATTTACCGTTTTGAACCTTTGTATGAATGATAAAAGTTCAAATAGATGGTTTGTTATTTAAAGTTCAAAATATCCAAATTCTGAACCACACACACCGCCAGACAGCTTAAAGTTGTCTGGCGGTGTTACAGTACATTCGGACACATTGAGGTACTGTACAGTACTTAAAGATGTGCTCTTAGACAGGTATGATAGCTGTCGCATTGAAGTGTGACATCGGCATTGCCCTATTGTTTATTGAAATTACTAAGCTCTCTTACTACAAGATGGTGATTAGAAAGACACTAATTCTTATACAAATATTAGTCTACATTTATAATATATATGTATATATTTTTAAATTTAAGTTTTATTTATTTACCAGAAATAATAATACGGTAATTAAAATTAAACACGCGACCAACATAATATTAGACTAGATTATTCTGAAATGTTACGTATAAAATAAGCTAAATAAAAAGTTTATTGACCATCATTTAAAAATAAAAAAGGATGAAAAACTGTTGAAATTCTTTTAACAAAAAAAAAATGAATTTATTAATTTTTATTAATATTTTTAATCATTAAAATGAATAGTTAGTCATATTTGGTTAAATGTTTTAATCATTTTTATTCGAAATTACTCCTGACCAGGAATATTTTTTCTGTTTATCACGGTCAGAACATCGTTCCTCATTTTTTATCTAAACTGGTCAACCCAATTGAGGGTCGAGCTTGCCCTTAACGAGGCAAATTGAGGTTAGTCGTTCCGTCCATCGTTTGCGTATCTTTGGCTAAAAAAATCACTCAATCAATCAATTAGTATTTTTTTTCATGCCCCGGAGTTTGAATTTCAAATGAGTTAAATTAAAAACAAAATATCTCGTCTTTCTCATTTACCCATGCAACAAACATTAATGATTAATGATTTACTGCGAAGGCAAACATCATTCGTATGTTAATATTTTAAGGGTTAAAACTAATAAATAGCGCGATTTCAAATTTAAATCTATTTATAAATACTTAAATAAACGCGTCAAAGTCGAATCATTTTCAGAAAAAATGATTTCATATAAAATATTTTTTACGTGTTTATTTGACAAAGACGATTTGAACCAATAAATTCTCAAAAAATTCTAGAATAAACAATGAAAACAAAAAGTATTATGTTTGTGAAAATTTGACATTTTTATGTAACAAAAAAGGAAAAATAAGTTTACTTTTTCCGATATCGTTTCGCATATTTTACATCATTAAACATTTAGTATGATAATGTCTTCTCTTGAATCATATCTTACAGCATTAAATTAATAAGTTTAGACACTTATGATATGTGTTATATATTAAGAGTAAAAATACTTTTCTCTTGATATGTTTGATTTATTACCTCTTCGGAAATGAGATTATAGCTGTTAATAATAATATTATACGTGTTTATTTCCGGAATGAGTAAATACTTTTGTTTATATGCTACCATTCAAATTTGTATTAACTTTGAAGGAATTAGATAACTAGGTACACGAATTATCCATTGATCAACGGTTTATTACCAGTGACTTTAATGATTGTACAGGAATTGTAAATCTGTTAGAATTTGATGTTAACTCTGAGGTATTAAATGCACATTTAAATATAGAAAATTGCAATTCAGTAATTTAAAGAAGATATTAACTTATAAAGTTCTGCAAAATATATATATATAGGCTATATATATTGATTGATTGCCTAATAAAATATAATTATAAATATTTAATATTTATTTATATACATTGTTAAAAGTAATATTGATTAATGGAGAATTTATAAATTTAAATACAAAATCTAAAGAATCTGAGTCTATATATATATATTTAAAAATTTAAATTAATTCCGTAGATAGAATAAAAGTCAACAATTTATATAGGAAAAAAGTTTATTTTTATATAGTCTAGCCTATAAATGAAACATTTAAATGGGTAATTGCAAAGAAATTAATTTAGATTATAAAATGATTAAACAG